ATTATCCTCATCTCACTGACGAGGAAACGGAGGCAAACTGAAGTTAAGTGACTTGCTCAGGGTCACACAGCTAGTTAGTATTCCAGTCTGGTCTTCCTGACTCCGGACCCAGTGCTCCTATCCATTGTACCACCTAGCTGCCCCATTAGCTGGTTTAATGTCTGACATGTAGGTTTGGGTTTAGATTGCTGCTGCTCTTAGTAGGTGCTAGTGAGAGAGAGAGCCAGGGAAGGCACTTCAGGATGTTATACCCTTACTCCTGGCTTACTTGTCCACTATCAAAACAAAATGGTCTCTAGCCAGAAGGAAAAGTTTAGAACACTACACTCATTAACCTGAGGTCAGGAGTTCAGTTTGCATGAACCAGTTAGTAATCCCTCTCTCCCATGGCAACAGACTGCTTACTTCACCTCTCATCTGTCTTTGCATACTTTGTATGGCCAGGGTGACAGAGTATGTATGGATCAGTTCAATCGAATGTCACTATTTTGAGAAGAACAATTTTAAAAGCATGCAGAAGTATACTTTTCATAGAGGGGATGGTACTCCCTTGCCTCTTTACCTTCCTACAAACTGGTTTCACAAAATGAAGGCTTGTAGTTAGAATAATATGATTCTCAATTGTAAAATGAATGGTGGAAATGTTCTTTTTCTGAAGGTGGAAATGGTATTAGCCTAAGCTTCATTTGCAAATGCACATTTTAATAATGCTTTGTACTCCTACTCCTTACCCTCTCTCTGCTCTGTCTCTTTCACCCAGGAATTTGTTGTAATAGGGTCATTGTACAGGGCAGAGTTGTAGGGAGGAGACAGGGAGGGAGGGCGAGAGAGAGAGAGACAGAGACAGACAGACAGAGACAGAGAGAAAGAGACAGAGAGGGAGGGAGAACAGTGGCAAGGGAGGGAGAGACACACAGAGAGATGGGGGTGAGGATATCAATATGAATAAAGGAAGGAGGGGAGTTCATCAAAAGAAACAGGTTGTAAGGTGAAGGGGCAGATTTTGAGAGGGGATGGTAGGAAGGAATCAAAGGACCATAAGAATGATAGCATAGCTACAATTCTCAAACCAGATCCAGGGACTGGCCCAGGTTGGATGCTTAGTAAGTCACTGTTATTTTTCTGGATCTCTTTCCCTCATCTCTAAAGAGAGGGGGTTGAACTATAGCATCTCTAAGCCCCTTCTGTGAAAAGTATATCAACTGAGAGTTCCCTCTACCAAGGGGAACATAGGTCTCCTTGGAATAGGGAACTCCTCATGAGGAAGCATATTCTACCAATTGGTATTATAGCACATAGTCTTAGTGAGTTGCTGGTGATAGGAAACAATGAAAAATAGGAAAACTCAAAAGAGCTATGAAAAGACCTATGTAGTGATAGACTGAGAGCTTGTGCCTATAAGAGAGGAAGGACAGGTACCTCTAGCCTTTTCTCCCCCATCTTTCTCTAAGGTTGATTCATTACTGCCAGGAGGGGAAACGGGAAGTTGAGGCTGAAGGCTACCACTCTATTCTCCTCAGAGAGAGAGGTTACCAGGGTTGGAAGTGTATTTATTTTCTCCCTTAAATGTTATTTGTCTAAGGGATTTGATTGGGTTTGAGGTAACTTTTGACTTCATTGTCATTTGGGGCAGGCAATGGCACCCCAAGGTCTATATTCAAGGCTTGACCCCTTCCCTACCTAACACTAGTTTTATAATGAATACACATAGAGATTAGCAAAGAACTCCATTTATCCAAATCATCATAAAGTGAAATCAGAGAAGCTATACATAGGAAAACATATATCTGACAATATAGAGTAAAGGAGCTCTCCCCCTAGGAGTGAGGTAACACAGCTCAACTGAGAATGTCCTGGGTCTCACCTAATGGGAAACTCCTCAGGTTAGCAAGCAGGGGGTAGGGACATGACAAAGACTACCTGCTCCTCTCATTTCTTCCTAGAGTCTTCCTTCAGCAACCAGAAGTGGAGCTGACCTCTTCAATCTTCTCTTTTAAATCTGGAAGTCAGATCTCCAAGTCAATCCTCCAAGAAGACTCTGGTTTAGAGAGTGCTGAATGGGGGGGGGGGGGATCCAGCTGAAAGAGTCCTCAAAGGAGGACTGACTAAGAACTGAAGCTTTCACCTCTGCCCCTCATGCAGGGCGGGGCCTTCATCTCCACCAATAAGGAAAGAGTCTCATACGAATGGTCTTTGGGACAGGGGATACACTCATATGAAGAGATGCAAAATGAGGTAGTCGTAACAAAAACATCATACACACCAACTACAATCATCTATGTGATTGTACATGTGTGTACATGTATGTGTGTATACAACCACATGCATGGTCATATATACATGTATATGAATATGGATGTAATGTTGCCTAATGGATGGAACTGGATGCAAAGTCAGGAAAGTCTGGGTTTAAATCCTACCTCTGACAGGTTCAAGCTATGTAGCCCTGGGCGAGTCACTTAACATTTCAGTGTTTTGTCAAACACAAAGCACATTCTGCTGTGATACAGGAACCAGATGAAAATGTAATTGAGAAATATTAACTAAATAAATAAAAATACAATAAAACATAAAGTTAATATGTAGTTTCTAAGTCAATATGTGGCCCATGGGGACACTTACAGGGACACTATGATTTAGTGGCTCCTATTTCTATTTGAGTTTGATGCCACTGGTGTAGGCAATTCTCTGATTATAGAAAAAAGCTTCTTGTGAATAAGGATTGTTTCATTTATTGCATTTGCATCTTGTGTGCCTCGCACGTTGTCTGATATGTAGTTGGAGCTCAATAAATAGTTATTGATTGATTAGTCATAGGGAAGGTGCCAACTTGCATTGGAAGTGGAAGTCTCCAAACCTGGGAGTTTCTTATATCAATGAAATCATGGGTCCAAAACCTACTTCTATCTTGTATGTGAATATATACATATATATCCAACAAAAACAAAGAGGCTTTATCAATACACATCTGGATTGTGAAGGGTATACCATTTTCATTAACATATGCATCTATATTATATTATTATTTTAAATGAAAATTTAATACGAATTTTAGAATTTCATTTGGAAATAGACTCCCTATTTGGATTAATTTGCTTATTAGTCTTGGTTGAGATTGTTAAATTTGTGATAACCAATAACAGAACAAAAAACACCACTACCAACTGCGTAGTCAATTTTCCTTCATGTATGGAGATCTCAGGGTTTGATATTAATGTAATGCAAGGAATGAGCCTTACCTTCTAGATGATAACATTTCCTCTTTTTTTTTTTTTGGCTAGGCAATGGGGTTAAGTGACTTGCCCAGGGTCACACAGTTGGTAAGTGTTATGTGTCTGAGGCCGGATCTGAACTCAGGTCCTCCTGAATCCAGGGCTGGTGCTCTATCCACTGTGCCACCTAGCTGCCCCTATTTCCTCTTTCAAGAGGTTGCAATTGGCCATTGTTATTTAGTTGTTTCAGTTGCATCTGACTCTTCACGACCCTATTTGGGGTTTTCTTGGTAGAGATACTGGACTGGTTTGCCATTTCCTTCTTCAGGTCATTTTAGAGTTGAAGAAACTTAGGCAAACAGGGTGAAGTGACTTGCCCAGGGTCATACAGCTAGTAAGTGTCTGAGGCCAGATTTGAAATCAGAAGATGGGCTCAGCACTCTATCCACCTAGCTGCCTGCAATTAGTCATTAGAGAGGATTTAAGGTGAGACCAGCCTTTGGCAGCTGACTCTTAGGAATATTGCATCGATTCTTACCTACTCCAGAGGATGAAGTCCTATTTGTAGATGGAGGTAGTGAGAAGTTTCTAGTCAACAAGCGATTCTTAGAACTGCTGAACCTTCCTGGGTATCTCCCTGAAAGCTAGTTCTATCTTATTTCCATTAGAGAGCACTGAGCTGGCAAATATAATTTAGGGTTTCTGGTTAGCAACATCAGATTTAAATGTGAAAGATGGCAATAGGAAAAAAATATGCCATCAACTGCTTTTTATATTTCTTTTTTATTTTTGTAGATGCTTTCAGCTTTGGATGTGCTCCCTAGTGTGTATATGGATTGTGTATGATTTGATTTTATGTATCCAATAAATAATAATTATGATGATTTGCTACATCCTGCCCCAAGAGTATATTAGATCCTTGGGCAGTGGGGGTGCATTATCTCTATTTAGGTCATGAGAGTACCAGTAAATACAATGAAAGCATAATTTACTAAATGGTACCCTAGTGGTCTATAGAAGTTAGAAGTAAGGGCTTCTAAAAAAATCTTCCACCCATAAAGTAATTGATTAATTGGCTGAAATGGCATCTGTGTGAAATCATCTGAGTTATTAAGAAAAAAAAAATCCATGCTGAGCTAATCTTTACTAATCCTGCCATTGATGTTATAAAAATGAAAACTTCCAAATTCTGTAATCTGAGGCATGTTTCAGCTTTGTGAAACTGTTTTTTTTTTTTGTGAGGGTGGCACTTTTGTACAGTAATGGTGATTGGACAAGTGATAAAACACTAGTGACAAGATGTCTGGTAGTACAACTAAGTTGAAATTGAGGGAATCTGAGGGGATAAGACATAAAAATATATATTTATGTGACCTGTCCTCTGTTAACATTGCTACAATTGGCTGATCAATTCAACCCCTTTTAGGGAAGTAAAACGTAAACTATAAAATGGGAGGATGATAATGGCAAAGGACTTTGGAAATTGGCATAGCAACCACAGCTTTCCAGTCTTGGGATTCATATGGAGAAATGTTTGATCCAGAGTTAATTTATTTCTCTACTGAGCTCTCTCCAGATTTCACTGCGCTGCTTTTCTCTTCCAAGGGCCTAATTGGCATAAGTTCTCTGTGGATTGTCTAGAAGGGCAGAAAGAATTCCAGGACGGTGAAGGAAAGTCCTGACATGCTTGTGGGGGTGATTTAGCAGCCTCCTCATCCAGCGTTTTTGCATTTATAAATGAAATGATTCAACAATGCTTTTTTCTTCTTTTTCTTTTTCTTTCACTAGGCTAGCAGCTTGGTGATGCAGTGGTTAGAGCGATGGCCTGGAGTCAGGAGGACCTGAGTTCAAATCCAACCTCAGACATTTACTAGCCATGTGACCTTGGGAAAGTCACTTAACCCTGTTTGCCTCAGTTTCTTCATCTGTAAAATGAACCGGAGAAGGAAATGGCAAACTGGTCCAGTAACTTCACTAAGAAAACCCCAAATGCCTCATTTCTCAAATAGGTAGAGAACTGAGTTAAATTTATAACAACTCAAGTCATTCTTCAATTGATAAATGGTCAAAGGATATGAAAAGGCAACTTTCAGATGAAGAAATTAAAACTATCTATAGTCATGGAAAAAAAGGCTCTAAATCACTATTGATTAGAGAAATGCGAATTAAAACAACTCTGAGGTACCACTTCATACCTATCAGATTGGCTAATATAACAGAAAAGGAAAATTATAAATGCTGGAGAAGATGAAGGGAAATTTGGACACTAATTCATTGTTGATGGAGTTGTAAACTGATCCACCATCCTGGAGAGCAATTTGGAACGATGCCCAAAGGACAATCAAACTGTGCATACCCTTTGATCCAGCAATACAGCTATTAGGTCTGTATCCCAAAGAGATTATAAAAAAGGGAAAAAAGACATACATGTACAAACATATTTATAGAAGCTCTTTTTGTGGTGGCAAATAATTGGAAATTGAGAGGATGCCCATCAACTGGGGAATGACTGAACAAGTTGTGGTATATGAATGTAATGGAATACTATTGTGCTATAAGAAATGATGAGCAGGCTGACTTCACAAAAACCTGGAAAGACTTGTATGGTCTGATGCTGAGTGATGTGAGCAGACCCAGAAGAACATTGTATACAGCAACACCAACATTGTGTGATGATCAGCTGTGATAGACTTAGCTCTTTTCAGCAGTACAATGATCCAAGATAATTCTAAAAGACTCACGATGGAAAATTCTACCCACATCCAAAGAAAGAACTATGGAAAAGTCTGAATACAGATCAAAGCATACTATTTTCATTGTATTTCATTTTTGTGTTTCATTTATATTTGTATTTCATTCTTGTATTTCATTTCACTTTTTTCTTTTTCATGGTTTTACCCTTTAGTTCTGATTCTTCTTTTACAACATGATTAATGTGGAAATATATTTAACATGATTGCACATGTGTAACCTATGTCTGATTGCTTGCTGTCTTGGGGAGAGGGGAGGGGAGGAAAGGAGGAAGAAAAATTTGGAATCAAAATCTTATAAAAAATGAATGTTGAAAACTATCTTACATGTATTTAGAAAAAAAAAATACTATTTACAAAAAAAAGAAAACTCCAAATGAGGTCACTGAGAATTGCACATGACTGAAATGACTCTACAACAGCTCCCATTTTTCTTTTCTATCAAAGAGAATGATCTTCACATGAGAAAGGATAGAGCTAAAACATTTAAAGGGAAATCTAACCTCCAATTAAATGAGAAGAGAGTAACCTGTCACTCACAGTACATTTAAGTTACATGGCATGAGTGTAATTCACTAATGTGAACTGAAAGAGTCTGCAGGTGTAATCACTGAACTGCCTTTTGAGATTGTTGAGGAATCACAAAGACCAGGAGCAGGACAACTGGCAAACCTTATTCTGATTTAAAAAAAAGGAATGTGGATTCTATAAATTACAGGTCAATGAACTTGATGTCAATGCCTGGCCAAATTCTGGAACATACTAAAGAGAGGAGGTTTATAAAAATTTGGAAAAGGAAATGGTGATCTCTATGAGTTATTATTAGGACATTAGAAACAATTTGGATCAGTTTATACACATTTCTCTTTTTCTAAAAGTAGTTTGACTAGAATGGGGAAATGTTGTTGTCTCAGTATGCCTAGAGTCCAAAGAAAAATTTTCAAATAATTCTCTAAAAATATTCCCTTGAACAGGACAGAGAGATGATAATTCAATTAGGTTAATATGCAAATGGTTGAATGACTCAACTGAAAGAATTGGTTAGTAAAGTAGTGTGTCTGTAGTGGCATGCCATAAGGCTCTGTAATGGCCCCCAGGTATGTTTTTATGAAGATGTAGATTGCACTCTTTTCTTATTCAAGAGCAATATGATGCTGGAGGAGATAGTTAATAAGTTGGCCGACAAAATTAAGATTCAAAAGAAACTTGCTAGCCTAAAACTCTTTGTCCATTAGACTGCCAGCTTCTTGAGAACAGGGACTGTGCTTTGCCTTTTTTGTATTCCCAACACTTAGCCCATAGTAGATGCTTAATAAATGTTTATTGAATGAGCCAATGAGTCAAGCCTAATGTGATGATATTTCATAGGGATAAATATGAAGTCTTGTACTTGCTTCAATATTTTTATGTATCTACGATCTCACCGACATGAGTATTATCTCCAAAGGTATGGATTGCAATCCATCTATACCTTCTCATCCTGTATGACTCTTGTTCATAACGTCTTCCTTTCCTTCCACATGAGGCTCGCCAAACATACTGTGGCCCTTTCTCTAGATTTTTGGACATTTATGTGTATGGTAAGATACCCAATGGACCATTCATCTATTTAATCCCTTGCCCTAAATACATGACTGACACATCTCCTTTTTCAGTCTCATGTTTCTTCAATTTGATTTTTTTTAATCCTTCATTGTGTGCTTAATTCTTCCTTTATAATACATAGCAGCTGGGGCAGCTAGGTGGTGCAGTGGATAGAGCACCAGCCTTAGAGTCAGGAAGTCCTGGGTTCAAATCCAGCCTCAGATTCTTGGCACTTATTAACTGTGAGACCCCACGCAAATCACTTAACCCCTATTGCCTTGCCAAAAACAAAACAAAAAATATGATGTATGACAGGCTATTTACACCCACCATTTATTTCTCTATTGTCCTTTGAATTTTCAGCATTACCAGAAGAATGTTGATGTTAAAAAGAGTGTAATTTCTCAAACACAATCCATCTTGCTTTCTTCCTCTTGCATAGACATACATATACACAAAAACTTATATACACGTATGTTGGGGGAGGGGAGATCCATGAACTGTTCATTTACCTGCATACTGTAGAATGGAAAATAGGCATATACAGAGTGTTCCAAAAGTCTGAGTGGAGTTTTGAAGCTCCCAATGCTTAACAGACCTTATAGCACGACACGTTAGAAGCTCATTTAATCTATGAAGGCTCAAAACTACATTAAGACTTTTGGACTTCCCTGTCTATATGCTACAGATGGAACTTCCAAGACTAGAAATTATTGGTCACTATTCCACTCTCTGAATATTTTTCCCTTGCTGTTTTTTTCAAGGCGTTGAACTGAAAAGCTAATTATAGTCATATTCCACATAGTATTATGTAAATATTATTATTATTATAATTATTAATATTATTATCCTCTTTAGCCTGATATTAAAGGTGTTAAAAATTCTTGTTCCAGCCTATTTTTTAGACTTATTTCTCCTTTCAACTGAGCCCTCACTCTATTCCTCACTGAACTGAGCAAGTCACTTTTTCTATGTCTTTCTTATTTTCTATTTTCTATCATATTCACTTATTTTCTATCATATTCACTACAGCAAGTGTTCCAAACCTTCTTTTATCTCCAGTGTCCCATGGTATCTCTCCTTCTACTATCTTAGCTGAAAACCTCGACTTATAGTTAGTTCACCATCCGATTTTAGGCTATCCACTGAGAGCTCTCTTTTCTTCTGTTCTCTTTATTTCATACTCCTCTGATATCATTCCTCACTCTCTTATCCTTTACTCCTTCCTCTGATGAAGAGATGGCTGTTATCCTTGCCAAGGCTAACTCAATTATATATATCTATATATATATATATATAATATATATATATAGATATATATAATCTTTGATTCTCTCTAGTCCATTCTTCTCCAGCAGATTGTTCCCAGTCATTCCCAATTTCCCTCTAATTGTCAATCTCTCCTTATCCACCAGGCCCTTTCTTGCTTTCTACAAACAACTCATAACTTCCACGTCCTTAAAAAAAAACCCTCATTTGATCTTATCCTCACTAGCTATCATCTTACAGTATATCTCTCCTTCCTTTCTCTGCAAAATTCCTCAAAAAAGTCAACAATATACTATGCCTCCATTTCCTCTCTTCTCAATCTCTTCTAATTCCATAGTAGTCTGTCTCCTGACTTTATAATTTGAGTGAAACTACTCTCTCTAAAGATTCCAGTGATCTTTTAATTGCCATGTCTAATGGCCTTTTCTCTGCCCTCACTTTTCTTGACTTCTCTGCAGCATTTGACATTACTGACCACCTCCTCTTTCTGCATATTCTTTTCTCTGGAGTTTGGTGACACTGTTCTCTATGGATTGTTTTCCTGTCTGACTACTCCTTCTTAACTTCTTTTGCTGAATCTTTATCCTCATCTTGTCATCTAACTATGAATGTCCTTGAAGGCTCTGTCCTGGATGGACCCTGCTTTCTTTTCTCCCCATGCTCTCTCTTGGCGATCACATTAACTTCATGGGTTCAGTTTTCAACTCTATGTAAATGATTCCCAGATCTTTATGTACATAACCAGGCCTAGTCTTACTTTTGAACCACTGCCTTTAATCCCCAATTTGCCTGTTGCCAAATTGAACCATCTTTTGTCTCAATTCTTACTCAGCCCTCAATCACTGAGTGGGTGTGGCCTCACACAAACTAAGACCTGGGAAAGACCTTAATTTAGAAAGGCCAAGGTCACACACTGCATTCTAGGCCATTGCCAGTCATCTTGACCTTTGTATTGCCACTGGGCTTTGATTACTCTGGAGTAGAGAGTGAGGCTGAAGACATTCAGATCCAATTCATGTGCAAGTCAAGACATCATCCTCATAATGTCATTGGTCCTCTTTGAGAATGAAGGACCACCGCAACCAACAGCAAGGATTCTGCATGGTCTCTACACAGAAGGACTTCCAGAGCAAGTGCTTTGAGTTAAATCTTGTCACATGTATTTGTTAAACATGAGTTTCACTACAGTTATGGTGGTCTAAGTTTAAGTTTACTCCTCCCAAGGA